AATGGAAGACTGCCTTCAAAACCAAGAAAGGATTAAATGAGTGGTTAGTTTTGCCATTTGGGTTGACTACTAAACCGAGCACGTTCATGCAACTTATGACTCGGGTTTTGCGTCCTTTCTTGCGCAAATTTGTGGTTGTTTATTTTGATGACATCTTAATTTTCAGTCGCAACGAGGAAGAACACCTTCAACACCTTCAATAAGTGTTGGATGCTTTACAGAAAAATGGTTTGTACATCAACCTTAAAAAGTGCAGTTTTATGACCGAGCGGATTCTGTTTCTTGGCTATATACTTAGCTCGGAAGGAATTCATGTTGATAACAGAAAGATAGGCCATTCGAAATTGGCCTATTCCCAAGAACATCACTAAAGTTCGCAACTTTCATGGTCTCGCTACTTTCTATAGGCGGTTCATTAGGTACTTTAGCAGCAACGTCGCTCCCATCACTGATCACTTGAAAAAAGAGAGTTCGTCAATTTGTGTGGACAAAAGGCGACCAGCGGCATTCTGTTCTTAAGTCCTTGACTCACAGTCACGCACGACTTATACTTAACTCGGAAGGAATTCATGTTGATTAACAGAAAGATAGGCATCGAAATGGCCTATTCCCAAAACATCCATCTAAAATTCGCAACCTCTCATGGGTTTCTCGCTTAACTCTATAGGCGTTCTCATTAGGGTACATTTACGAGCAACGTCCAATGATCCCGCTGCATCGCTCTCTCCCATACTCACATTGAGACATAGCATCACTTATAACTCGAGAACGGCCCGTACTTCTACATCTCTTAGGGGGACCAAAATGCTTGCCAAACAAAAGCTATCAATCTCCAGATACAATGATAAAGTCCTGATATCTGTTCGCTGCTCACCACACTCCTCCATCACCGCCTCCATATGAAGAATGTATACAATGCGTTAGATTGTTTCCGCCTCTAATGCTTGGCAAGTCTACATAGGATTGTATATATGAATCGGCATCTGGTCTATTAATTAATACCTTCTCATATCTGCAATATCCACTCTAGCTCTCAACATATCATCGTATCTGCACCTTCCTTTATCTGCCGAGTATTTACTATGAATGAAGTTAGACAAGAAGGTGGTCTGTCTATGCAAAGAAGTTTCAGTTATGTTGTTGCATGAGCTTAATATATTTACATCACAATTTGCCTGATTCATCAGCTTTAAACTCATTTTCAAACTCAAGAAGAAATGAAGCAAGAAAGTGAGCAAGATGCATGCGCGTTGGGCAACTTATTTTGGTGCTTTCCATTATGTCATTAAGCACAAATCAGGTACTTGTAACACAATAGCGGATGCTTTGAGCAGGAGAGCAGCCTTGTTGATTACAATTAGGCAAGAGATTGTGGGGTTCAAATTTCTTAAAAATCGGTATGCCTCGGATGAAGATTTTGCTGACATACGGGCAAAAATTGATGCTAAACAGCCTACTGACGATTTCTTGGTTCATGACGGGTATTTATTCAAGGAAACCGACTGTGCATCCTTTGGTCTTACCTCCGGGAAATGTTAATCCGTGAAATCCATAGTGGAGGATTGAGCGGACACCTGGGGCGAGACAAGACTATTGCAGGGTAAGAAGGAAGTAAGCAGGGAAGCTAGTACAGAAATGCTCAGTTTGCCAGAAACAGAAAGGCCATTCCCAAAATACCGGTCTATACACTCCATTGGCTATACCGGAACAACCTTGAGAGGACTTATCCATGGATTTTGTGTTGGGTTTACCACGAACTCAACGCGAAGCTGCCTCTATTTTTGTTGTTGTAGATAAGTTCTCCAAGATGGCACACTTTATCCCTTGCAAACAAACTAATGATGCCTCGCATATAGAAAAGTTATTTTTCCAGGAGATTGTTCAATTACATGACATTCCCAAAACCATCACATCTGAGCGAGATACAAAGTTTCTAGCCCACTTTTGGACAACTTTGTGGAAGAGGTTTAACACTCAACTCCACTACAGCAGTACCGTGCACCCTCAAACTGATGGACAAACTGAAGTGGTGAACCGGACCCTTAGTAATCTCCTTAGGTGCATTTGCAGTGAGAAGAAGATGTGGGACCTTGTTCTTGCCCAAACAAAATTTGCTTACAACAGTTCGATCCATAGCGTTTTGCTTACAAACAGTCGATCCATAGGCGCCACCAAGATGTCCCCTTCTGCAATTAGTCTGCCGAAAGCACCAGCCATGCTCTGTGTATCTACCCTTGTCCCTTCCAGCATAGTGTTAGGAAGAGTATTTAGAGAAGAGTATTGCAGCTAATAACTTGGCTACCTAGCATTTGGAGGTATTCAAGCAAGTGCAACAATTCATCACTGCTGCCAATGAAAAATATAAAGTTGCAGCTGATCAACACCGACATTATAAATCTTTTAACGTGGGTGATTAGTTCATGGTTTATCTTTGCAAGGAACATGGCGGAGGACAGAAGAAGCTTGATTCCAAAAAGATTGGCTCCCTTCAGGTACTTAAGAAGATCAATGATAATGCCTATGTGCTTGACCTGCCCGAAGACATGAAGATCTCCAGGACCTTCAATGTTGCTGATTTATTCCCTCCAATGTGATCACCTCGAGAGGTCGATTTCTTTTGCAAGTGGAGGCTTGATGCGAAACAACTTCTGTTAATGCCTATGTGCTTGACCTGCCCGAAGACATGAAGATCTCCAGGACCTTCAATGTTGCTGATTTATTCCCTTTCTATCCCAATGATGATCACTCGAGGTCGAGTTCTTTTGAAGTGGAGGGCTTGATGCGAAGCAACTTGCACTTCAACATATGGAAGATTTGGATCGCAACAAAACCAAGAAGAAGGGGCACGATCATGCCATATCCAGCACGCCCGTGCTAGCCTCTGGAAGTTCCGGACTCGAGGCACGCCGAAGCTTAAGAAGCACAGACACGCCCGTGTCACTTTCCAAACCGCCCGTGCTAGCCTCTAGGAATTCAGAGCACGCTCATTCCATGTACAGCACGCCCGTGCCGACAAGTCTAGCTACTATTCGCACATAGACACACCAATGTCACTTCCAGCACGCCCCGTGCCAGCCTCTGGAAGCCCAGGACACGCCCGTGTCATGTATAGAAAGCCCGTGCCGCCACCCCTACTAGGGTTTTGTCTAGTTACAACTTTTGTATTATTTCTTTAGCGTTTATCCTTTAGCCTAACCTATATATAGGTTATTTTGTATCATTGGCACATTCATTAATCTTTGATCATTATTCCTATCACTAACTTCTTAGAGAGTTTAGTTCTCTATTTTATTCATCGGATCAAGCTTCATTAATCAAAACTTCTAACGGAAAATAATCTTTTATTCCCATTCACATATCCGTTCTGTGCCAAAATTTAATGCGACTTCTCTCATCATGGCCAACCACCAAATGTACTATCATAGCTTGTTAAAAGGATCCAAATGTAAAATCATTCTCCATGATGAAGAGGACGACTAATGCAGGGGAAGAATAGAAGACAATTAACTCTTAACAATTAGGGCAAGAATACAATTATTTTGGTTGGAACAAAATAACATATCGGTTTCAAAGAAACCCTTGGAATTAAAATTCTGAATTCATAGATAAAAAATAATCACTAAATAATTTGCTGCTGTCCTATTTATATTAGCTAGGAGAAATCCTAATTCTATACTGAAAAGTGTTTCTAATTAGCTAATACTCCTAGGCTGAATAGTATTCCATTTACCTAAATCCTAAATAAATAAATAAATAAGGAAAACTGAAAATTATTCCTTATTAATTAATATTCTTTAATTTAGTTAAGAATCCTAAATAAAGAAGGAAACTAAAAGAAAGCTTTTGAACTAGTCTTGGATGCTCCTGCATCAAGGACATAAAGTCACATGGACGAATTATTCCATCTCAAACTCATCTTTCTTCTTCAAAAGGTCAGAATCACATCTCAATTTGATAATTTGCTAACTTAGTCTAACCCACTTCAATTGAAACCAATCCTTCAAAAAGCCCAGACACCTTGTCATCTACCCATTTGTTTTCTTTAGGTTTAGAATACAATTATTGCCTTATACACACTTTTTTGGAGTATAAATCTTTTCAAAAGGATTCCTTCAATCACTTTATGCACAATACGCCCAGAACATGGTGACATTGTCATCTATTAGAACGCTTTCCATGGCTGTCAGATATTTTATAACAATAATCTTTGTGCATATATTCCTCCTATCAACTTTTCAGAAAAGATGATTTTGTGATCATCGAGATCATATGCTTCTCAAATAACAAGAATCTAATTATACAGTTGAAGAAAGCTATAAATTACAGACAATAAAGAATCGCTTATTCATGCAACATCAACCATTCCTTTTTTTTTTTTTTTTTTTTTATTATGCAACATCCAACCATGTCCTTTTTTTTTTTTTTTTTTTTGTTCAAGCAATGACGGCCCCCCAGCACATTAAAGAAATCAATCTAATTAATAATTGAAATGGATAGCCCGCCACAATCCGCAAAAACTGCTTAGTTATTCAAGACATATTCCAGAGAGAAGATTAAAAATGAAAATAACATGGATCCAAAAGAAAATTCAGAGGGAAAAAAAATGTGTTTTTTTTTTTTTTTTTTTGTTCAAGCAATGACGGCCCCCAGCACATTATAGAATCAATTAATTAAATAATTGAAATGGATAGCCCCCACAATCGCAAAATGCTTAGTTATCAAGACATATTCCAAGAGAAGATTAAAAATGAAAATACATGGATCCAAAAGAATTCAGAGGAAAAAAATGTTGACGGACTAAATTGCAGAAAAGAACTATAAGAGTGATTGAAAGAGACTACAAGAAAACTAAATATGAACTACCTATCCACATATCTTGAAGTCATGTTGATGAAGAATTTCTTCACTAGACAAACCCTTTTAGCTCAAATGGACAAAAAAAAAGGGGAAAAAAAGGGAAACATTAAATAGAAGAACAATATCATAGTAGAGATGCATACCTCATCTAACATCCTAATCAGCTTTGACTTCTTTCTCCGACTTTCACCTCCATCTCCACAATTATGTGGCTCATCAACAATTCCACACGAGTTCAAACATTCAAAAGGAGGATCCATTAAAGAGCCATCCACAGTAATCTTCTCGCTGTAAATTCCCCTACCCACATCACAAAACTCTGCAAGTAGTTGTTGTGCAGGCTTCAAAAACCTTGATCCCTGTAAAATCGAAGCATAGCCTGTAAACGGCCCAAGAGGAACCGAACTTCTAGACAACTCATTCGAGGTAGAGCCACTAGCTCCAACAATGTCAGGAACTGTATATCTACCACCACCACCACCAACAGTAGTAACCTTATCGATATAGACGGCAGACCCATATCTTTGCAAATTAAGCTCTAAAGGGAGATTACTTTGTTGGGTGTGGTGAGAAGACAAAGATAGAGACAAGCCTTGACTTGACTCACGAGTCAAAGACAACGGTTCTGGTTTAAACGCAACAGCTTCATCGCCACCACCTTTAAATGGCTGGTCAATATCTCTAAGGTTTTGAACATTATGTGGAGTATAAAGGAAAGTGATGCCGTTAATATCTTGAATGGAACTAGGGTTCAAAGGTAAATAAGATTGCGGATCCAGATAAAAATGATGAGTAGTCGAAGAAGAGGAAGCATCAGCATTATTCACAATCCCACCAACAAAACTGATTAAATTTGCACCTTCTTCTTTAGCTACACAAACTGGGTTGGCTTTGCAAGCCTCACTAACAGCAGAAAGTGAGTTATTAGCACAAGCTAACAAATCTGAACAGATAAGAGAAGAATAGCATAAATTGTGTAATAACCCAGTACTACCATGAAGGTCAGGATGGCTTTGAGCCACAACTCTTAACTTATCTCTTCTACTTTGCTGTGGGACATGGTAGGGCTCAAAACCCTCCACCATAGCTAAACAGACGAACACAAAAACAAATAAAGCAAAATAAGAAGAGAACGACGAAGGCGAAGAAGATGGGTACTAATAATAATAATAATTACAATTAATTAAAGAAGAGAAGGAAAAAAAAAAAACAAAGAGAACAGTAAAAAAAAAGATGTGGTGATGACGAAGGAAAGGTTATAATGATCTTCTGAATCTGCAAAAATGGCAGTTTTAGCAGACATACGTGAAGAGATTGAGAGAGAGAGAAGGTGAAAAAGACCAAAAAAAAAGAGGGGCGGCTCACACGAACCCTCCACCATCAGCTAACAGCAGACACACAACTACACACAAATCATCAGCACATATCCACTAAGGAAGAGACTATCGATCGCAGCAGGCCGATTAAGAACGATGGGTTATACCATAATTCAACTTACATAAATTCACCACATTCCTCAACCCCACCTTAAATTAAGAAACGCGAAGGTAGAAAAAATAGCTAAAACAACCCGCAACTAGAGACAGTACACTAGGAGCAAAAGATGGTGTTCGAACTGACGAAAGGAAAGCGCCTTTATACATGATGCTCCAAGAACTCTCGCAGATCCTGCAAAAGATGAGCAGTTTATATGCAATAAGGTAAACTACGAGGCTGAATGCTACCGTGAAAGAGATTGGACGAGAGAGAGAAGCCCCCGTGGAAAAAGACCAAAAAAACAAGCAGGGGGGCGGGGGGGGGGGGTTATGCTACCCATGGAGGTTCTGGGTTGCCTCCCCACTTACCGCCAATCCTAAGGGGGGGGTTATGTAATGGAGGTTGGGTTGCTCACTTCACGCATCCTAATACAATAGAAGCAGGTTATATAGAGAGAGAGGGTGGGAGAGAGACTCAAAGACTTCTATCACTCACTCATATAAACATATACACACAAACAGAGGCCTTTATAATCGAAATTACTAAAACATTTAACACACACAACAACAAAATCTTTGTTACAGTCATCTCTCTCTTTCTCTGGTTCTTGAAAGCATAGGGTTTCGAGAAACAGGAGGACGACCGGCTAGTTCCGGTAATTATTGAACTAAACTACTGTGTTGCAGATATTTCTGACAGGATTTCTAGGGTTTTGTCGTTTTTTGCAATTTTGGTGTTTCTTTCTTTCTCTGATGGTTTGTTTTTTCTTCTAAAATAATAATAATACTAGTAATTTAATTGCTTTTATTATTTTATTAATTTTAATTATTAAGATGGGAAGGGAAGAGGAGGTGATGACGCACGTGAGAACGCGGGAACAGATGAGTGATGGGTGATGAGTGATGAGTGAGAGTTTGGCCCTCTCTACACTCATCCGCCAAAGTGGTAAAGTTTTTCTTTCTTTTGCTTACTGTCTTTTCGAGGTTTTCTTTTCTCCATCAATTTATTTATTTTTCTATTAATTATAATTAATTGATATCCACGTTTTAAGAAACCCAAAAGGCAATTCAATAAAGTTTTTCATGGGTCCGAGTTTACAATTTAATTTTCAGGATTGCTGTTAAATCATCTTTACTTATTACTCTCCATATAGTCTGGTTGTTTTTAGAAACGCAGTGAACAGAATCTCTCCAATCTAAATCTTTTTATTATTAATTCAAAAAATATTATTTAAAAGAAATATTATTTTTATTGCGTAGCGTATATATTCTCCCGGTTCATTAAGCTATGTAAATATAGTGGATCTATCTTTAAAGTGTTACTCCCTCTGTTTCAAAAAAATACTTTATCTTTCCTTTTTTATTTGTCCTAAAATATAATTCATTTTTCTTTATTGTATTATAATTAATCTTTAAATTATCTATTATATTCTTATTAAATTTTAACTTATTTTGAATAGCTCTCATTAATTTTTAGTTCTTATTCTAATATAATAATTACTTGTGCGTTATTTAAGATGAGTATAATAATAAAATTATATAAATAAAATTGTCATTTAATTATATTTCTTAATTTTTTCGGACGGAGAAAATATATCTTATTTCTCGTCTATTTTACTTTGCAAAAATGGGTTGAATGATATTTAAACAATATGTGTTTTTGTTGAGTGCAATTTATATTTATCTAATTTATTTATACAATTTCTAATGGACCAGAATTTTAGAGTGCTTAAAAAAACGTAGATATAATCTTATATATATACAGAAGACTATAGAAAAGAAGAGATGATCGTATTGTCATTAGTATGCTGTTTAAATACAAGAAGAGTCCTATACTAAATAGTATATGGTTACAAAATAAGTTACAACAGAAATTATCTATCCATATCCAAAAACCTAAACAAAAAACTTTTATTCATAATCTGTTAACTTCTTTATCTTCCAATACTCCCCCGCCAAGATTTAGAGATCCATTGTGGGATTCCGATCTTGGGCCCGATTTTGTTGAACTTTACCTTAGACAGAGATTAGTTACATTCAGCCTAACTGATCTTTGAAGAAAATGTGTGTGACCCTAAATCTTCACCCTCTTTGGACCATTTCTCGACAAAATGAATATTCAAATCTCCAAATGTTTCCAATTGGATGAAAACAAATTGGATTCGACATTGTATAACAAGTGAGATATTATCACAGTAAATAACAGGGGTGTCTACTCTTGTCCGAGGTCCTCTTTAGCAAAGGATGAACCCATTTACCTCAGATGCTGTACTTGAACAGCAACGTATTCAGCTTCGTAGCTGGACGAGGCAAACTTTCCTTTTGCTTTTTAAGAGGCTCCAACTAATGGGGCTTACAAATATAAGATATTAAATCCGGTTTGTTGATTGGAACCTTACCAAGATATAAGATAAATCCGGTTGTTGATGTTCGATCCGAAGGATCGCTTGCCCAATCAGCATCCGAGTATGCATGAAACCCAAAATCGGCTTGCTTCATGATTGAAATTCCATAATAAATTGTGGATTTCAGATACCGGAGTAGTCTCTTTAACGCCAGCCAATGGTCGGCATTCGGATGTTGCATATACTGTGATAATTTGTTCACAGTGAAAGCTATGTTCGGCCGAGTGAGATTTAAATATTGCAATCCTCCAATTAATTTTCGATAGGCAGTAGCATCAACAGGTAAAGTCTCATTTTTTGATTTTTGGAGCTGTATATCTGAAGCCATTGGAGTAGAAATCTCCTTCGCACCATCCATCTTTGCTTGCTCAAGCAATTTCCGAATATAGTGATGTTGAGTTAAGAAATCCCTCCATTTATTTGTCGCACATCCATACCAAGAAATAATGACAATGGTTGTGGATCTTTCAGAGAAAAACGCTTCCCAAGTGCTTGCACAAAACTCTAAACAAACCCATTGTTATTTCCAGTAATTACTATGTCATCTACATAGACAAGAAAATAACAATATACACCATCTTTAATATAATAAAAGAGGGAATGATCACATGCCGATAATCGAAAACCATAGGCAACAGTAAAAGCTCTTAAAGCTTGATACCAAGCACGTGGTGCTTGCTTTAACCCATAAAGTGCTTTAATCAACTTACAAACATGTGTGGGTTTTGTTGGATCTTTAAAACCTGGTGGCTGCTGCATATAAACATCTTCCTGTCAAAACCATGTTAAAAATGGCATTGTTCACGGTCCAGTGAAAAGTTGAACAATTGGCCAAGCTTTAGTAATTACTAGAGTAAGCACCAACCGAATTGTCACTGGTTTGACAACTGGACTAAATGTATCACTGTAATCAACACCAGGTCGCTGACTATAACCCCGAGCAACCAGTCTTGCTTTGTATCTCTGCAAAGATCCATCGGCATTTTTCTTCACCCTGAAAATCCATTTACAACTGACCAGATTAGAAGTAGAATCATATGGAACAAGCACCCAAGTATTATTATCAAGTAATGCATTAAACTCTGATGTCATTGCCTGTCGCCAATCAGGAATAGCTAAGGCTTAGGTTCTGGTTAATGAAAAGAGAAGTAATTGCCTGTAACGAATTGTAAAACTTTCGGCTTTGAAAATTATTTTGGAACGTGTACCATCCGATGAAGATTAAACAGGGTTGGTTGGGGAAAATGACTGATGTCGAAACACTAGGAGCACAGACTCAATGTGTGGACTTAAAAGAGCACAAAGGAGCAGTAGAACTTGAAATAGGCGAAAACTCATCCACAGACATTATTCGCGCGAAAAAAAGGAACAAATAGAAGAAAACCGGTTCAGAGTAGCCAAAAATCATACCCAATAGTTCTCAGACAATCGTAGCAATTTGGTCGAAAGGGAACTTATTCAACAAACTTCAACATGTCGAGACTCAAAATTTTCCCAGATCAATAATAACCAAAAGGATTAAAAACACTTTTGTTTGGTGAATAAATTCCTAAAATACACAAGGAAGTTGATCGATTATCAAAACTTATTTTTCTATATGGGTCTAAGACATGGATAACAAAAGACAATTCCACAAATACTCGTAAAAAGGATAAATTAGGATGTAACCCAACCAATTTTTCAAAGGGAGAGACTAGTTAAGAAGGATTATGTAGAGGTAACCGATTATTTTAAGGTAAAGGTTGCAGTACGAAAAGCAAAAAACTCCAAAAAACTCATGGGAAAAGAGGCTGTTGTAACAAAAGTAAGCCCCTGTTTCAAACTAAATGGCCCGATTACGACTTTCAGCCGCCACCATTATTGTTGAGTTGTGTAGGAGGGAGTTGCAAATGGTGATTATTCCCTTTGTGAATATTTTTTTAAAGAAGAACATACCTCTTCCCCCCATCAGGAATTAGATAAGTTGAATTTGGAGTTAAAGGTTTTCTACAAGGCTTTTGAAAGAATTGGAAAAATTTCGATAACCTTTGAGATTTATTTTAATGGATACAAAGCCAAGATATATTTTGTAAGTGATCAAACAAATAAAATTATAATTATTCGAAATTTCATCCCCAAAAAGGTTCTGGTTTGCAGGGCCCCATAAAATCAGTATAAACAATTCTAATGGTTGTAACTAAACCAAAGAGATACCAAAGCGTAAACCTATGACTTATACAGCACAGGATTCACAGACACTATCCTTAATAACATTCACAGGAATATTAAGGTTTAGACCCAAACAGAATGAAGAATCGAAACTGGATGTCCAAAGCCGGATGCCATGACACAGAAGATAACCAATATGATGCGACTTAAAAGAAGCGGGCCCAAGCTGCGAAGTTTATAAAGACTGAATCAAGGTTGCATGTACAGGATCCTTCCCCCGTAAAACTGATTTCCTTAAATAAAATAAAATGAGAGAAAAATTCAAA